AAGCATGGGCTATCTCCCCGTTTTCTAATATCCTCTTCCGTTTCTTTTAGAGTACTGTAGTTTCCAATGTAGAGGGAGGTCTTTTGCATTCTTTGTTAGATTGATTCCTAGGTATTTCATTTTTTTGAATGTTATTGTAAAAGGGATTGTTTCCCTGATTTCTCTGTCTCAGTGAGTTTATTATTCATCTACAGGAAGGTTATTGAGTTTTGAGCATTGACTTTGTAACCAGCTATGTTACTGAATTTGCTTATTAAATCTAGAAGTCTTTTGGTGGAGTTTTGGGGGGTCTTCTAAGTAGAGTAGCATGTCATCTGCAAATAACTATAGTTTTACGTCTTCCTTTCCTATCTTTATTCCTTTTATTTCTTCCTCTTGTCTAATTGCTACTGCGAAAGTTTCCAGGACTGTGTTGAATAAGAGTGGAGACAATGGACATCCTTCTCTTGTTCCTGATTTTAGAGTGAAAGCTTTCAGTTTTTGCCCATTTAGTATGATGTCAGCTGTTTGTTTGTCATTGATGGCCTTTATCAGATTGAGATAAAGACCATCTATTCCAATTTTCTGTAAGGTTTTTATCATGAATGGGTGCTAGACTTTGTCAAAAGCTTTTTCTGCGTTTATTGAGATGATCATATTGTTTTTGTCCTTGGCTCTATTAATATGGTGTATTACATTTATGGATTTACATATGTTGAACCATTCCTGTATCCCTGGGATGAATCCTACTTCTGTTTCTTAGTTGGGTCGTTCTCTGGCTTTGGAATCAGAGTAATGTGTGCTTCCAGGAATGAACTTGGGAGTATTACTTCCCTTTCAGTTTCATTAAAGAGTTTGAGAAGCATTGGTGTTCGGCCTTCACTAAAAAGTTCTTGTAGAATCCATCAGGGCCTGGACTTTTCTTTGTTAATAGGTTTTTAATTACATCTTCAATTTCATTTATTGATACTGGATTATTTAGGTTTTTTATATCTTCTTGATTCAGCTTTGGTAATTCATATGTATCTAGGAATCTGTCCATTTCTTCTGTATTTTCCAACTTACTATAATACAAGTTTTCAAACTAAGTATAGATGATTTTCTTTTTTTTTTTTTAATTTTATTTAAGGAGAAAAGAAAAAAAAAGCAGGGAAAGGGTACAAGTTATACAGATTTACAGAAAAAAATGAACAGTAGGAAATCACTAGTTAATGGATTACATATTGTCATCTTAAAAATAATTGTTCAAGTCACAAAATTAAAGCTTGTAAAGTGGACATTCCATCAATGATACTGCAAACAGTTCTGTTCATTGATCCAATAAAACTCTGTGATATCATTGTCTATCTTATACACTTAAATATACATGCAGTTATATAGTTTGGAGCACTTTCTTTTCCTCTCTTTTGTACCAGTATAGATGATTTTCTTCAGGGTCTGTTGTGATTTTGCCATTTTCATTCCTAATGGCATGGATTTGAGTCTTTTCTTCCTTTTTTGTATTGATAAGGTTGACTGGGTTTGTCAATTTTATTTAATCTTTCAAAGAATCAACTCTTCAATTCCTTGATTTTTTTGTTTTTTGTTTTTTTTTTTTAGTCTGCAGTGTGTTCATGTCTGCTCTGATCTTTATAATTTCCTCCCTTGTATGAACTTTTGGTTTAGCCTGGTCTTTTTTTGAAAGTTTGAGGTTCAACATTAACTTGTTCATATTTGCTTGCTCTGTTTTCTGATATGGACATTTACTGCTATAAATTTCCCTCTTGAGACTGCTTTCATTGTGTCCCACAAATCTTGGTATGTTTTATTGTTATTATCATTCACCTGTAAAAACTGTCTAATTTCTTTAATTTCATTTATGACCTGTTGGTCGTTCAGTAGGGTGCTATTTAAATTCTATGTGTTTGTGAAGCTTTTATCGTTTCCTTTGGCATGGATTTCCAATTTCATTGCATTTTGGCCTGATAGTATTCATGAGATAATTTCAATTCCTTTACATTTGCTTAAGCATGTTCTATAAGCCAGTATATGGTCTATTTTGGAGATTGTCCCGTGTGCAGCTGAGAAGCATGTGTATTCTAATGTTATGAGGTGGAGCAGTCTATAGACATTTACTAAGTCTGTTTGTTCAAAAGTGTGGTTTAGTTCTAATATTGATTTTTTTCCAGTTGATCTGTCTTTTTGTGACAGTGGGGTATTGAGGTCTCCTAATACAGTTGTATTAGGGCTGTTTTGATTTTTCATGTCCAGTAGTAATTGTTTTATATAGCTGAGTATACTGGCATTTGTTGCATATATATTTATGATTATTATTTCTTCCTTTTGAATTGTTCCCTTTATGAGGATGTAGTGAACTTCTTTATCTCCCTTAATCAGTTTTGGCTTGAAATTCACTTTAGGGGCTGGAGATTGAGCTCAGCGGCATAAGCGCCTGCCTTGCAAGCAGGCAGTCGTGAGTTCGATCCCTAGTACCGATAAAAAGGAAAAAGACAAAAAAAAAAAAAAAAGAAATTCACTTTGTCTGTAAGTACAATAGCTACCCCTGCTTTTTTCTGGATTCTTCTTGCATGGTGTATTGTTTTCCATCCTTTGACTTTCACTCTATGAATTTCTTTTTGAAGCAAATGTGTTTCTTGTATATAGCATATTGTTGGATCTTGCTTCTTGATCTATTCTGCCAGTTTGTGTCTTTTGACTGGTGAATTGAGACCCTTAACACTGATAGGTTTTTTTTTTTTTTTTTTCCTTTTCATTTTTATCGGTACCGGGGATCGAACTCACGACCACCTGCTTGCAAGGCAGGTGCTTATGGCGCTGAGCTAAACCCCCAACCCCAACATTGATAGTTAAAACTGATGTGTGTTGACTTATCCTGGTTATTTTCCTGTTGTTGACTCCTCACATTTTTCCCCTTTCCTCTAGATGTTGGCCTTTCCTGGTGGTTTCCTTCTGTTGGGGATCATGGAGCTGTGGTCGTTATTTTCTCTTTCTAGAATGTCCTTGAGAACATTTTGGAGTGCTGATTTGGTGGTCATAAATTTCCTCAGGTGTTCTTTGTCATGAAAATATCTTATTTCTCCATCAATTTTTTTTTTTTTTTTTTTGGTCTTTCTGAGACAGGGTCTCGCTGTGCAGTTCAGGCTGGCCTTGAGCTCACTTTGTGGCCTAGGCTGGTCTCAAACTCGCAAGGATCCTCCTGAGTGCTGGGATCATAGGCGTGAGCCACCACGTCCAGTTCTCCATCAATTTTGAAAGATAGTTTTTTTTTAAAATCAGTACTGGGGATCGAACTTATGACCACCTGCTTGCAAGGCAGGTGCTTATGCCGCTGAGCTAAATTCCCAGCCCCGAAAGATAGTTTTGTGGGATACATCAATCTGGGTTGAAAGTTGTTTTCCTTTAGAACTTGGAGCACTTTAAGCTCTCCTTGACTTGAGAGTTTGTGCTGAGAAGTCAGCTGTGACTCTGATGGCCTTTCCTTTATAGGTGATTTGTTTTCTTTTCCCTAACAGCTTTTCAGATTTTATTCTTGTGTTGAATATCTGGAATCTTGGCTATGATATGCCTGGTTATAGATTTTTTTGATTATTGCTAATTAGATTTCTATATGCCTCACTTATTTGTATGTCAAATTCTTTTTCTCTCCCAGCAAACTTTTCTGTCATCATGTCTGTGAAGATGTTTTTTTCTTTTTTAATTTATTTTTATTTTTATTTTAAAGGTAGTAAAATTAAACACAACAAAACAAAATAAAATAGGACATAAGAAAGCAATGTGAGATATAAATTTCAAAGCAAGATGACCTGAGATCTTCACTATCCTGTTGTCTCTTGTTTTCTTCTAAATAGTTGTCCATGTCTTTGCATACAAAGAATTTCTACAAAACGATATAGTATAAAACTGATCTGAACAGAATGAGGAAGGTGTTTTAGGTCTTCAAAACCAGACAATAGGGAAGTTACTAATGACTGTTGTAGAGTCTCTCATTCTCTTCAAAATAGCTGTCTATACTTTCATGTATATTGAAGTTCAACAAAACAAAACAGGCTAAAATAACACCGTTAATTAGAAAAAAAAACAGGGATAAAAGTATTTGCCTTCAAAGAGATGGTAGAAGGAAATCTACCCTATTTGCTATATTGCCTATGGTCAACCTCACAAGGGATGTCCAGATCACTGGCTCCCACTTGCTAATAGAGGCGGTGAAGGAGGAGAAGATGTGATGTTTGATTCTCAGCCCCTGCCCCAGCAGGCTCACAGCCACTCATGGGGGGTGGCAGGGTTGCTTGGTTTCCTGGCACTCTAGGTCCCAGCATGGCACGGGTCCCAGTAAATGCTGGTGGCTCCCGTCCTGGGCCACCAGAGCCTGCCACACTCACAGCCGCTCACCAGGGGAGGAGGGGTTGCTTAGTTTCCCAGCACTCCAGGTCCCAGCATGGTGCGGGTCCCAGTCAATGCCAGTGGCTCCTGTCCTGGGTCACCAGAGCCTGCCACACTCATAGCCACTCACTGTGGGTGGGAGAGGGGTTGCTTGGTTTACTGGTGCTCCAGGTCCTGGCTTGGTGTGGGTCCCAGTAAATGCTGGTGGCTCCCATCCTGGGCCGCTGGAGCCTGCCATACTTACAGCTGCTCACGGGAGGTAGAAGGGGTTGCCTGATTTCCCAGCAATCCAGATCCCAGCATGGCATGGGTCCCAGTTACCGCCAGAGGTCCCATCCTGGGCCACTGGATCCTGCCAAGCTCACAGTCGCTCTTGAGTTGGGAAGGAGTTGCTTGGTTTCCCAGCACTCCAGGTCCTGGCATGGTTTGGGTCCCAGTAAAAGCCAGTGGCTCCTGTCCTGGGCTGCTGCAGCCTGCCACGCTCACAGCCACTCACTAGGGGGGAGGGGTTGCTTGATTTCCTGGCACTCTAGGTCCCAGCATGGCATGGGTCCCATAATATGCCGGTGGCTCTCATCCTGGGCCCCCAGAGCCTGCCACCCTCACAGTCATTCATGGGGGGTGGAGGAGGGGTTGCTCCAAGCTGTTTCTTTCTAATGAATTGACCATTTCACTGCCTAAGTTCTAAAATGGCCAACAAACTATAGAAAACCATCTCTTTAGGCTCCTGCTTGAAACCAACAGTATCAGAAAGCTGCCAGCCTTGATTCAGGGCCACTGTGAAGATGTTTTTAATATCATGTCCTGCTATTCATTGACTGTGTTATCTCCTGCTTGTTCATTGACTCCACTTAATCTTGAGTTATTCTTCTTTGTCTCATCTAGCAGCTCCTGGATTGATTTCTCATGGTCTCTTGCTAGTTTTGAGAAATCTTTCTCTTCCTGGTTACTAACTGCAAGCCTGTCTTCAATATCTAAGATCCTGTTTTCACATTGGCCTAATCTGCTTTTAGTGAAGTTTTTATTCTCCTGGATACCTGCTTGCATCTGCTTTATGGATTCCATTTGTTTCCTGTGCTATGCTTCAGTAATTTGCTTAAGCTCGTCTATGTTTTTGTCTGTGTCTGCTCTAACATTGCTTAACATAGTGTGTATTTTGGTAATCTCTGTGGTTATTTGAGAGATTATTTCTGATTTCATTTTTTTGCAGAGCCTCATTCAGTGGCTTTGTCGTTAGCACTTTGGAGAGACCTTGTAGGGGGCTTTCAGATTGTCCCACCTCACTGTTCTTTGGGTTTGGCTTTGGTGAACTGGATATCTGGGGTTGCATCTTGTTTTAGAGTATCTTCTCATTTCTTTTCTTTTTTAATTCCTGAGGTGTACTTGTAAATTGCTTATGGTGGGTTGCTTTATTGGTGGTATTTAGTACACTTAGGTGATGATTACTTCTCTGAGAGATCTTCCAGGCATAGCTGGTCTTTGGGTTTTGCGTCTGTTGGAAGATCTTACCTTTTCAGTTTGTTGGAGATGAGAAGTTGTTGCTAGTTTGGCCTAGTCCCTTGTTCTTTGACACTGTTCCACAGTATTTTCTGTGATCCTCAGTTAATCTCAGTTGTGGATTATCAGGGCCAACAGCTGTTTAAAAAAATTATGTCAGTTGTGGTTGTAGTGGTACCAGTAGCATCAAACTCAGCCGATAGGGCTCAACAGCATCAGCACTTGCCAGGCAAGTGTAAGGTCATGAGTTCCATCCCCGGAACCCAAAACAAAACAAAACAAATAAACCCAAAAAATGCAACCTATAAATCAACAAACTAAGCTAACCCTTAATTTGCAACTTTTAACCATTGGAACTAGGTTTGTGATTATGTAACAAAATATAAAACAAACCAGATAATTATATGTAGCCTGTAAGTCTGTAGTGTGCCAATTTTGCCCTCAGAGGTTAAATTTAAAATGGATTAAGGAGAAAATAGAGGGGAAAGAGAAGGAGATTACAAGTAAGGTTGGAGGACAAAGGTGGATCCCACCAACTTGGGGAAACTGGTGCAGAAGAGTGAAAGAAAAGAGAAATGGAAGAGAAAAAAGCTAGAACAGAACAGAACCACACCCACAAAGATATTAGGAACCACTGTCACCCTCATTAAAAACACAACAGTGGAAGAGAAATAAAAAACAAACAACAAAACAAAACAAACAAGAAAAAAAAAATAGCCCACTTCCAGGATTCTCTCTGGGTTCACTAGTAGACAGCCTGTGGAGACAGAATCCCGAATCGTGCAACTCTATCCCTATAAACCAGCTGTTGCTTTATGGCAGAGTAGTAGATGACCTTAGCAGGGCTGCCCCTAGACCCGCTAGACCAGACTCACGGGGCTTCCCTGAGTCTGTGCCCAGCTAGGAGCTACTGGAGGAAGCTGGCAGCAGTTCTGGTTTGGGCTTATCCAGATTGACTCCAAAATGGCTCCTGGCTAATTGTTCTCTCCCTGTAGGAGGCCTGACTGAGCCCTCTGCACTCACTGCCAGCCAGTGCAGTCCTCTCCCTCTGCCACCCCCCTCCACTGCCTTATCTTTTTGCAGAAGCCTCTGGAGTCGCAGGCTGCCACTGTCTCCGTGACCGTGACCGTGTGTCCTCAGGTTCTAACAAGTCTCATGCAGTGAGGCTGGCTCTGGGCAAAGACACAGCCAGCTGTGCCACCTTTTTGGTTGACAATTTTCTCTTTACTGTCTCTGTGGGCTTCAGTTCACAGGTCAGATTCTTCCCGGGTCTGGGGAACCTACTTCCTTTTTTCATCTCTTCCCCACGATGCTCTATTCCAGTGTCTGACAGTGACTCTCAGAGATGCTGTTTTCTCTGCTGCTTACTGCTCTGCCATCTTCCTGGAAGTCCCGCTTTTTAAACTTTAATAAGAATGCTGAACAATAGCATGGTTGAAATAACTGAATTAATGAGCTAGATCAGATCAAGGAATTTTTTCAAAATATAGTGAAACAGGCAAACAGGAAAATTATGAAATTTTTCAGAATGGAATATAGAACTAGGAGGGGAACTAATATTCTAGTACTAAAAGCCTGTATAGTTTCACTGTTTTCCTGGCAGAAGTGGTCAGGATGGTGGACAGTTGGTGGGTAAAACTTTTGTAACAGAAGGGCAGAAGATCATAGAGGTAGTTTTTTAAATAATTTATGGAGGAAAAGATCTTCAAATTTTAAGGGCCATACAGCTCAGTGGCATAGCACCCGCTTGGCAAGTGCGAGGTTGTGAGTTTGATTTCTGGTACCGGGGGGAAAAAAAAGAAAGAAAATTTTAATGCAGCCTGCCCTCTGTATCAGTGTGCTCTGCATCTGCAGATTTAACCCACTGTTGACTGAAAATATTCAGAAAAAACACATTGCATTTGTATTGAACACAGAGTTTTTCCTGCTTATCACCATTTCCTCAGCAATGTAGAATAGCAACTATTTACATAGAATTTACATTGTATTAAGTATTGTTTAAGTCATCTAAAGATGACAAAGTGTATATATCTTAGTTCTGTTTTACCGGTTACTGAGACAAAATACCTGATGCCCAAAGTTGGGAAAGGAAAGGTTTATTTCTTAAAGTTTTTGGAAGTTTTAGTCTATACTCAGTTGGCTCCAAGGCAGGGTGGCATGGTGGGGCCACAGTTTATGGTGGCTTCAAAACAGCAAACCAGAAACCTGCAAGAGGGCAAGACACACCTTCCTGCCATTAAATCACATCCTGGCTCCATCCCTAGGCCAGTGTAGCACTTACTCCCCCAATCCAAGCGTTAGACAATGAACCAATCACAAATGCATAATGCAAAGGCATGAGGCTTGGGGGCCACCAACATAAACCATGACAATACAGAAAGATATGCTTAGACCACCTAAGCATGATAGTGCATGCCTGTATTCCCGGCCTAAACTATAAAGTGAGATCTTGTCTCAAAACAACAAAAAAGATGTGGCTAGTTGTATGCAAATACTATGCCATTTTATATAAAATGTTTGAGCATCTTCAGACTTTGGTATTCACGGGGGTCCTGGAACCAACTGCCAGGCATATGAAGGGATATGTATTAGGGTACTTTAGGTTATTAGGGAGCAACTTGTTTTCTCTGATTTTATCTCTGGTTTACTTTTCTTTCTTTTAAAAAGAAAAAAACAAAAATCAAGATGCAAACAAACTGCAAAAGCAAAACAACAAAAACAATATCAATATAGGATTTCAAATCAAGATGATAAGAATTTAACAATGGTTGCTATTGCTTTTCTTTTCTTTGTGTGTCAGTTTCATCCTTAGAATGGCTTGTTTTTTCACAAAATGTTTGCAAGCTGAGTATTTCGAAAGAGTATAGCTACCCACACCACGAGAGAAAGGCTTGCAAAGCCTGACACTGACAGCACAAGTGCTGCATTTAATGGAGCAAGTGAACTGAAGAAACTTCATAGAACAGGTGAAACCATCTAACAAATGTCTACTACCTTATGTTTCTTAACACTGTAAGGATGAAATGAATAGGATAAAAATAAAAGGAAAAATATATTGAGGAAAATAAAGAGGAAAAATTATTTTTTTAAAAAAATTATTTTACAGAGATTAAGACAAAAGAGGACAGAACAAGGCAGATCAGAACAAAACAGTGTAAGCCGCACAACACTTCACACCCTGATATTAACAGTAGCTACCATAGTGTCTCTTTCTTTGAAATAGTTGAGCATACCTTCACATACAATAGTATCAAGCATAACAAAATAGTATAAAACCATGCAGGAGGATAAAAGTATTACAGGGCATTCAGAACCAAATAACAGAAAATGAACAATGGCTACTATGTTATCTCATTTCCATAAAAAATTTGTACTATCACACATATTAAAGCCCAATAAGATACAACATGATAGCACCAATGGAAACAAAAGAACAAAAGCATGGTAGGACTTCAAAGCAAGATGATATTAAATCAGCAATGGCTGCTATAATGTCTTGTTTTCTTCAAAATAGCTGTTCATACCATCACATATAATAAAATCAAACAAAACAAAATAAAACCATTCCAACTAATGAATGAAAACATTATAAGGCTTCAAAGGAATATAATGGGGAATCAAAGTTACCATAAAATCTTCTGTACTCTTACCATTTCTTATGCTAAGGATACTATACGGTATTTATACATGTGAGTTTGATTTATTTCACTTATGAGTATGATCTCAAGTTGCGTCCATTTATTTATAAATATCTCAGTGTGATCAGTCTTTATAGCTGAGTAGTACTCCATTGTATAAAAATACCACAACTTTTTATCCATTCCTCAGTTGATGGACACTTAGGTTGTTTCCAAGATCTGGTGACTACAAATTGTGCTGCTATAAACATAGGTGCACATATATCACTGTGGTATGATGTTTTCAGTTCTTCTGGGAATATGCCTAGAAGTGGAATAGCTAGGCGAATGGGACTTCCAATCCCAGCTTTTTGAGAAATCTCCAGACTGACCTCCACAATGGTTGCACCAATCTACACTTCCACCAACAGTGCAGGAGAGTTCCTTTTTCCCACAGCCTCTCCAGCATTGTTGTTGGTAGTTTTCTTGATCCTGGCCATAAAGAAGAAAACTTGTTACAAGAGTAAAAGTAAAAATGGATTAGAAGGACAGAGGGAACAGAGTAAGACCAAATGTAACAGTTACAATTAAAGTGACTGAAGTAAATTCAAGTTTGTTTCTAATGGTTGGCTTGCATGTTCAGTTTCTTGCTGTATACCTTCAG